CAGCTTCAAAACGTCGTAGCGGGGTCTATTTTTTTTAATTAAAAAGTTGAAGTCTCTACGTTTTGATCCCATCATTAGATTTTCGATTGGGCATAACCCCAAATTACGTGACCTTGAAATTCAAGGTCATGTTTTCAATCTTAACATTTGCAAAAGTTTCGCAATGTGCACGAGCCTGGGTAATTTTTTTTCAGCAATTCTGAAAAAAAGGTCTGAAAGTACAACTCTTTCCCTTGATTTCTAAAAAAAAAACGTCCCGCTACGATTTTTCTTGTCATTTTTACAGCGTTTTGAAAAAAACTTCAAAAAAACGCTAAAAATCGTGTTTTTAATCTCAAAATTTGCAACGTTTCGCAATGCGCACCGACGTGGATGATTTTTTTCGGCAATTCTGAAGAAAGCATCTGAAAGTAGAACTCTTCTCCTTTATTTAAAAAAAAAATACGCCCTGATACGATTTTTTCTGACATTTTTACTGCGTTTTGAAATTATTCTTGAAATAACGTCAAAATTCATGTTTTAAGTCTTAAAATTTTCAGTTTCGCATTGCGTACGAAATTGCACGGAATTGCATGATTTTTGTTCGAAAATTCTAAAAAAACATTTAAAAGTTCAACTTGACTCTTTTCTTTAAAAAAAGGTCTCGCTACCATTTTTTCAATCAATTTAATATAACACTTTCATGTTTTTACCACTAACATTAGAATACCTTTAGAAGAATACCATTAGAAGACCTTTTTTTTTAAAAAAAGAGTCAAAATCAAGCATTTTTGCAATGATTATATTTCATTATAGGTGTTTGCGATCACACTGGAAAATTTATCGACTGTTTAATCGGTCGGCCAGGACGTGCACATGATGCGGCAGTTTTTCGAAGCAGTAATATTTATGGCAGACTGATAGATGAAGCAAATCCTTTGTTACTTTTTCAACGACACATTAGGTGATTTCGCATATCCATTGCTCAAAACTGTGATGACTCCATTTCGAGATAATGGAAATTTAACCCCAGAAAAGTCTAATATAATACTACACTTTCCTCAATACGATCGATAATAGAACGTGCCTATGGATTGCTGAAAGGAAAGTGGCGAAGATTAAAATCTCTTGATGTGAAAAGTATTGATATGGCAAATCATATTATTGCTGCTGCATGTACTCTTCACAATTTTCTTATATTACATAATGAAATCGAAATAAGAGAGAATGTAAACATTGACATTAATATAAATATTGAACACGAAGATTATAACAGTGATGAAAGTGATAATAATGATTTTCAAAATGATAATGGACAAATGAAAAGACAAGAAATTGCAAATAGATTGCTTCAACTGAAAAGACAAGAAATTGCGAATAGATTGCTTTAAATTAATTGAATTAATTTTTTTTATAAATGTATCAATGTACAAATTTAAATTCAGAAAAATAAGTTTTATTCTTATTATAATATCCAATATATATTTTTAGAATAAAGAGTATTTCTACTTGTGCAAAAAGATAAATTATGCAAAAATTGTAAAAATTGTAAAAATTATGCAAAAATTGTGTTTAAAAAAAAATAATATAAGATTAAATTAAATAACAACAAGTTTTAATTGTTTGATGGATTTATTTTCCTATTTATATAAAATTATTTATATAAGATGTATCATTTACATAAGATATATTATTTATAGATTTATCATTTTATATTATTTCAGATGTATTATTTTTAGATTTTATAAGCATCTCTAACATTTTATTCCTTTTCTTCAAAATATCGTTTCTTTCTTTAATTAATTTCTTTCTTTCTTGTAGTGTTATTGTAACTTCTTCTATTTGTTTTGTTCCTTGATTTTGAACCTTGATTTTTTTCGATATTTTGCAATATATTAATTTTCTTTGATTCTAGTTCAATTATTTTATTTCTTTGGCTACATAATTTTCTTTTATTTAATGATATGTTTTCATTTGAATCTCTCGTCGAAGCATCATGAAAAGTTGAATCTCTCGTCAAAGCATCATGAAAAGTTGAATCAGTATTAGAAGTAGAAAAATATTCATCAAACATAATATTTGATGGTCCCTCAATGCTACTTTCTATATCACTGTCCGAAACACGATCCGACGCGTCATAAGATGTTGAAACAAAATCAATATAATTTGACAAACATTTACATAATTTATTAATATCATTAAAGTGTTGAAAAGATAATGTTAAATTTGGTAATGAAAACCTGTGCTTAGAAAGATCTATAGCTTCGTGAAAAGGATTTTGTCCACTCTCCATAGATGATATTCCTTTTTCAAAATTTACAGACTTGTCTGCATTAAAAATTTCGTGCATCTCACCATAAAACTCCTAGTCTTCACGGCTTTCCAGTCCTTTTTATTATTTTTTATTCGCTTGTAAGTTTCATATTTCATATTTTTCTATCAATGCTATGAGCATTAAGTTTGAGATATTCCAGTTCCTTCATTTCAGTTTCCATCTCCTTCCAAAGGCGACTTTTTTTAATTTTTGGGTTGCGGAATTTTGGAAGTAACTCCTGATACTTTGATAACAAAAATTTTGTTGATTTGCGGTCCCATAATATTTTTGATTCTGAAACATAGAACATATTATAATTATAACGATTAATTTAACAATAATGATTAATTTAACAATTTTTATTATACTTACCGTTATTACTACCATCACTGCAGTTGGTTTCATCACTATTAAATTTAGCTGCATCTAATTTTGCAAAATATTGCACGCAATAAGTTTCATCTGGAAATAGCATTATGTGACCGTAAATCAATAAAATTTTGGTTATTAAAATATCGAGAGTTGCTTCTAAAAATAAATATTTTATCAAAAAGTTATACTTTTTACTTTGTATATATTTCTTATAATTAATTTTGCTTACCTGTTTGTATTTTTAAGTGAATTTCATATGACTCAGTCACTTCATATTCTTTACCATCGTGATTATATATCATAGTTGAAATATCCTTGTTAATATCCATTATTCTTTAGAATCTATTGTGACATGAACTGTCGCATGAGCATCTGTCAAAAATGGCGATCGCTACAATTGTAGCAGAAAGTTCTGAAACGTACTTTTGTAGTGCTACTATAGCGCTTTAATATCGTGAAACACGCTTATGTAGCGCTACAGTAGCGCTACTGTAGCGATGCGACCGCAAAACACACCCAATATTTTACAAGATATTTTACGGTTTATGTAAAATTAAGAAATGATTTCAAGCCTCCTAACTCAGAAAGTACTTAATGAGAACTAACTTAATTGTAGTGTTTTGGAAAGCTCTCGGCGTGAGCTACCAGAATATTCAATAAAAAATAACAAAATCATTTCGAACAAACTGTCTGAAGGTAATATTCACTTTTAGGAAAAAGGGCTTAAAAAGTACCTTAATTTTCGAGTCGCCAAAAATCCTTTTCCTATACTTTTTTTGTATCTAAAAAGAACCTATTTACAAAATTTGATTCAAATCGGAGCATGATCATTTTCGGAAGAACATCCCGAAGCATTAGCGTGACACTCTGTGTATCTATACGCGAGTCGGACAGTTAAGAATAACTCAAATTATCGGATTAAACCATTTAAATAAATAATTCAATAACGGCTGAACGAATCGAATTCTTACTAGCCTTAATCGATAGAGCGAGTTTGAATTGTATAACGAAAATATCTTTATTTTTGTGCTGCGTGATCTATAAACGGAGATATAACGCAAAATCGAAATATGAAAATTTTTAATTAAGAAACATCTTTATCATTATTGTCATCGTCATCATCAATGTACATGTACACAACACATAGAAAGAGAAAACGAAATCGGATTAAAGAAAATCGGCCAATCTGCGTGAATAGAAGCGCGCGGCGGCGAAGGCGGTCTCACTGTAACATAATGGCGACGCGTAATAAAACGGTGATTGGGGAGGGGAGGAGCCTTCGCCGTGCGCCTGCACATTCATCGCTCCTCCCTTTCCGAACCACTGCTTCGCCGCGTGCTAAGTATATGGTTACAGTGGGACGACTCTCACGCAGATTGGCCGATCTTCTTGAATTATTTTTTCGTTAATTATTGCAAATATTGCATAACTGTAGAAGACTTTTCTTCTAACTTTGAGCCAATCTACCTTAATTTTTTAAAATTATGATCACTTTCATGACACCTTGTATAATGTATTATTTAAAGATTATATTCAAAGAAATTATTACTAGATTATTGGACAATTTAAATAATATCTATATTTTTTATTTACAATTTAAATAATATCTATATTTCTTACAATTGGTAACATTGGCTTATACTTAGCATTTTACTATGTCAGGCAGTGTAACTTTGTATCGTAGTTGGAATTCATCGTGGTGAACACAATGGCCGCATTCAGCGGACTCAATAGTTGGACAACATTACCATATTTTCCGATGTAATTCGACACTGATTGGTCGCATCTGAAAGTAGAAACCAATCATGTTCGATTGCTACTTAGCGATTGAGTCCGCTGAATGGGGCCAATGTTACACTGTATCCTCTGTGTCATTAGTTAGAAAACATCCAATCAGATTTTGATATTTTTCGGCATATTGGATCCGACATTTTGAATTTTAATTTAAAATTCGTATTCAGCAATCTAATGGCGTTTCCAAATGGTCGGATTTAATCGCTCCGGGGTAGTTTACTAGACGTCATTGATCAATCATAACTAGTCTTCAGAAGAATATGCCATTCATTCTTTAGAAAAATAGCTGTGATTGGTCAACAACGTCTAGTAAACTACTCCGAAGCGATTAAACTCGACCACTCAAAAACACCATAAAAAACTCCTAGATACTTATCTAAATAAGTATTTTTAAAATCGGATAAGTATTTTTAAAATATTCTTTTTCTTGCCCATAGAGGCACAAACAGTGAAGTTTTGTCACCGAAAGGATTAATGTAATGTATATGTTTTTAATATGCAACATGAATCATTAATGTAAAAAAAATTTTTTTTAATTCAGATCTATACCAGATCAATATGTGGAGAAACTCATAAATGCCAATATTCTTTCTCAAGAAATTGTTAAAAATACTATCGAAAGCCGTACCACATTATTAAATAAGGCTTTGAAAGAATCTATGGAAAATATGCCGCGACAGCTAGCTACGTCATATCTTACTGGAAGATGGACGGGAATAAAACAAGCTGAAGCCAATATAACACAATGGGATACTGGAGTTGATTTGCATTTGTTACAATTCTTGGGAAAAAGAAGTGTTCAAGTACCACCAAACTTAGTAAGTAAATTTATTAATAATATATAAGAATACATAAATATACACATTATCTTATATATTCTTATTTTATCACTTTCTTTTATTATTATACAGGGTAGGGAAAAAGTATGGAAGCAAACAATTATTTCCGAAACTATTCATTTTTCAACAAAATGTCTTAGACATAATTTTTATGGTATAAAAAGATGTATTATGTGGCATAGACGGCATGACCTTGAAATGACCCTTACGAGCTGCATACAAATAACGTAAAAAATTTCAAATGGAACTCGTCAGTTTTTGTTACAGATTCTTGTAGCTGATGTCGAAACGTTTACAAAACACTGCATATGAGCCCCATTCCCTTAAAAACACTCTCAGTTACGAAACAATTGTGATACAAACAATTTGTATGCACATTGACATTGCTTACTGATTTCGCATCATGATGTTCAGTTGCGTCCACTAATAACATGTAATTGTACCTGTTGTCATATGATACACTGTCTATGAGTATTCATAGAATTTTTTTGATTTCACTTATCTTGTCTTAACTGGTTGGATGAATCGCACTTATCTTGTCTTAACTGGTTGGATGAATCGCACTTATCTTACCTTAACTGGTTGGATGAATCGCACTTATCTTGCCTTAACTGGTTGGATGAATCGCACTTATCTTGTCTTAACTGGTTGGATGAATCGCACTTATCTTGCCTTAACTGGTTGGATGAATCGCACTTATCTTACCTTAACTGGTTGGATGAATCGCACTTATCTTGTCTTAACTGGTTGGATGAATCGCACTTATCTTACCTTAACTGGTTGAATGAATCACGCAATCTCTTTCCTTAAGTACGGTTCGATGTACGCCTTAACTGATTCTACGAACTTCGCATGTCTTTCGTATCGGCAGAAATGATCGAAGCGGGTTATTCTCCATTTGTTGCAGTAATCGCTACTGTTGTACTGATCTCTCATAATGACGTTCAGTCGCCTTACACACATTCATGTAATCACACGTACGCTGTCTATTTTCAATTTCGTCGATACGAATTATCACAATTGTTTCGTAACTGGGAGTGTTTTTAAGGGAATGGGGCTTATATGCAGTGTTTTGTAAACGTTTCGACATCAGCTACAAGAATCTGTAACAAAAACTGACGAGTTCCATTTGAAATTTTTTACGTTATTTGTATGCAGCTCGTAAGGGTCATTTCAAGGTCATGCCGTCTATGCCACATAATACATCTTTTCATACCATAAAAATTATGTCTAAGACATTTTGTCGAAAAATGAATAGTTTCGGAAATAATTGTTTGCTTCCATACTTTTTCCCCATCCTGTATTTACTGTTGAAGATCAAATGTTCGCTTTCAAAAATGGCGCAGCGGGTCAAATTAGCTGACCCGCAATCAAGCAGTCGCTAATATTTACCGCGCGAGCGCGATAACGACGCGTGAAAGATCCTTAATTAATAAGCAGCGCTGGGGGGAGGCGGCTAATCTCCACCGCCCACGCGCGCTTTTTCGGAGAAATTCGAAACCCGATTCGCCGAACTAGTGCATCCGTTTTCCAGAAAGTTCGGAGTCGCGCATCAACCTGTCGAATGACTGACGATTTCGGCTCCGAATTCTCTGGAAAAACGGATCAATAAAATGGAGTGAACGGCGACAATCTCTCTCAGTCGAGAACCTTTTCTAAAGTTGGATCTGTGTGAATAACAATCCGAACATTTTATAGTTGGTGATTCCGTGGCGACCTCTCCTCGCGGCGTCAAGACAGTAAATTATTAGAAGATAAGTTGTAAATAGAAGTGTGAATAAATGTGCGTATAAAAATCATAGCTGTGAACTTACTCTCGAATCTGTCGTTTCATACGATACCCTTTTGTTACGTTTTGCAAACCGAACATTTACGAATTTAGGAATCAAAATAATAATAGAGAAATTCTTGAAAAATTAATAACTAGTCATCATAGAATATGTTTAAAGTGTCATCTATGCGTAAATGACTAATAATTTATTATATATATATATATATATATATATATATATATATATATACACAGGGTGTCCTAGACCACCCGTACACCCCTTTTCTTTCAAAAACTAAGCATTTTAGAGAAAAACGTTTTCGACAAAAATTGTATGATTTTGAGGAGAATATAAGATGGTGTCATTGGTTTGACCTTGGATGGCATCGTTAAGGTCCAAGGACACATTTAATTTCTTAAATGGAATCACCTATTTTTTATTGCATATTCTTATAGCTTATGTCGAGAGCTTTCCAAAACATTATAATAAAGTATTAAAACGGCTATCTCACTAATAACCTTGGCCTTGACATATGTGATCAAGATCATGATCCTGAGTAACCTTCAATAAGTTTTAATTGGTGGTGCCTACTGAAAACTTTATTTAATAATAATCTATATAAAATCGTACAATAATAAACCTCATTTTACGCTGACTCAGCGGTGATGTGGTGTGGACCTCGCTTCGTGTGGAAAGTTACAAACTTATGTAAAATCTTACTTAATAATAGACCTCGTTTCGTGCTAACTTAGCGATGATGTGGTATGGACTTCGTTTCGCGTGAAAAGTTGCAAACCTATATAGAACCGGTAAACCTGCATAAGAGGACTCTGCTCGTACTGACCCCCCTAACTTTGACCTTGACATATGTTGTTAAGGTCATTCTCCTGGGTAACATTCCAAAAGTTTTCGCCGTCGGTCATCGTTTATTAAAAAGTTATAGACAAAAGTCTAGTCCCCCCCCCCCCGACTACCATCAACGTGTCATCCGCATAGCAGATGACACGGCAGCTGGGGGGAAGGACTCTACCCAGTATCTCATCGTACGCAATGTTCCACAGGAGCGAGCCCAATACGGATCTCTGCGGAACACCGCGCACGATGGGCCTTCTTCTGCGGATCCCCCCCCCCGCATTGCGGTAGGAGATATCCCTATCCCTAAAATAATCCCAGATTACCCTGATCAGGTAATCCGGAACTCCATGCGACCGCAGCCCCGCCCTATCCTGTCCCACGGGAGGGTGTTGAATGCATTAGCTATGTTTAAGGACACAACCAATGCCACCCCTGGACTATCTGTTCCGAGCGGGCCTCCAAATCATCGACCGTGTCGATGGTTGACCGGCCCACTCGGAACCTGTACTGGCTCTCACTGGCTCCTTGCCGCAGGTGCTCAGTAAGGCGCCCCACCAGTATCCTCTCCATCAGCTTACCAACTTCGTCCAGCAAACAGAGAGGTCGGTAAGCCGATCGGCGAGATCCCTTCTCCCCTTCGGGAGAAGGATCAACCTCGCCTCCTTCCTTGAGGCATCTCGTGAAGAGGTACCTCAAGGACCCGCTGACTTCACCCATGACCCAGGGCCCAGATATTGCCCGGGATGCCGTTCGAACTGGAAGCCTTATTCGGTTTCATCCTCCGGACGGCATCTCTCATCTCCTTTACTGTCACCTCCCAGTCCTCCCTCCACTCCACCAGGCAAATAGCCCGAGTGGGGGAAGCGCATCTCACCTCCGGCATCCCCCGGGGAAGAGGGTTTCGACCATCTCTCCGAGGAAGCCGGGAGCAAGAGACTCCGTGGTCGGAGGCGCCCACGGTCTCAACCTATTGAGGACCATTCTATACGGGCGCTCCCACGGGTTCTCATTCAGGGATCATTTCCTCCTAGACCCTGGTCTTAGACCTCCCAATGGCGGCGCAGAGGGAGTACCGAGCTTCGCGATACTCCCCTCGCGCCCGCTCTATGCACGCCTCGCTGCTCCCCCTCCTTCGCAGGACCCGCTAGAGCCGGCGCCTGGCCCGGACCGAGGCGTCGCGAAGACTCGCGATTTCCTCGGTCCACCAGTACATCGACTTCCTCCCGCACCCCTTCCTTACTCTTGGCATCGAGGCATCGTAGACTCCCCACAGAGCCTTGCGAAGCCTCAATGCCAATTCTTCCACAACTAATTCCTCCCACCCTCGGTGATCCTCCTCCACACCCAAAGCGAGACGTGCACCGAGGCCATCAGGAGGTCCGGGTTCAGCCGAGTGAGGGACCACCTGCGCTCCTCCACCACATCCGCCCCGAGGGGACCGAGGGGCAGCCAAACTGAGCTCGATATATCTGTGATCAGACAGGATCTCGAGCTCAGTGGCAATTCTTCAACCCACCATTGTGCGCAGGGTCGTAGGGGAGGCCCACGACAAATCGACGATGGACTCCCTCTGCGGCTTCACGCACGTGGCCATGGACTCTTCATTGAGTAGGGTCTATACTACACATGCGAACAAATACATTCTCTGTCTGTCTGTCTGTTTGTCTGTCTCTTTCTCGCTCCCCCCTCTCTCTCTCTCTCATTCGCTCAGTCACCTATAATTTTTTTTTACGAGAGAGGAAAAAATGCATTTTATGCATACCCACTGGTCGATCCAGTGAGTTATGTGGGACTCGAGTACCAACTTGAACTACCAACTCGGTACTCGCTACCCACTAAAAATCCCTCTTTTTTCACGAATATTCTTTGACACACTGTCCCTCCGACTTCCCGAGCTCTGTTTTCACATAACGTCAAAAAATACTTATTATTATTATCTTGTAACGATGCACCTCCCAAACTGCATCGTTCCCGGCCAAATATCGACTGGAAGCTGCCGCCCGACGACCACCGGTCGGGCAATAGCAGAGGATTGTGCGCCCACATTTTTAAACGTTAGCAACATCCGGATAGAAGTCCAATATAACACCGTCGGCCGAGAGTCGCCGGTTGAGAACCGCATGCGGCATCTCGAACACGGTCGCCGGGAGCCGCCGGCTGAGAATCCCGCGCGCGATACCCCGAATTTCCCCGGGCGGAATCCGAATAGTACCGTTATTTTTTTCCGCCGCCCGGTGGGGGTAATTACCGAATACGCCGGCGCGTGAGTCATAATTAACAGTATAAAACAGGCTCCCGGTGACACTTCGAGCAGATCCTTCCAATCCTCTCCAGAGCGAAGGCAAGCCAAGCAACCGAGAAATACGAAGCGATTACCAGAGAACCAGGAGGTAGGGAGAACGCCGTTTCCGCCGATCGATATCGGCACTCAACGGATCGTCTTCAATCCTAGATTCCTTATCAGGAAAGGTGCCTCGCACCTATCCGGGGGTGGACCGAGAGCTGTCTCCGACGCTCGCTAGCGTCGCGATGCCTTCCTAACACCTTTATTCGTCTGGGAAATCATTTCCCGTATATAAGATTCGGTTTAAAGCCGATCAGCTGTTATCTTAATTCCGCGCGAAGGCCTGATTATAAGAACCGCGATAAGAAACACAGCAAGAACATGACGCCGGGCCGCAAAAGCCCGCAAAGCCATGCATCGCCTATGGCAAAATCACCGTCCAATTAATTTCATTATCACGCTTCACGCGATTTTATTTTATTATTTTTTTTACCGGCGATTCCCTCGTACATCTAAACCAGCGATTAAAGCGAACATTCGACAGAACTTGTATTTCGGCGCGATCGAGATCTCGATCGCTCAATACGCGTCCATCCGTACATTTATACACACACATTGTACACGTATACACACGCACGCTATACGTCGCACTCAAACACGTATTTATACATACACAGTTATACATCGCATTTACCCGCGCGCACTCGTACACATCCGTATACTGCATCGACTCTTGCACACATTTAGACTGCGTACACACTCACACACACACACACACACACACACACACACACACACACACACACACTATTTGCTGCATTCATCCACGCACATATTACATACTGCGTTCATTCATTGTTTACTGCATTCATCCGCGCACACTTGCATACATTGCATTCCGCGCTTATACGCGTGCACACGCATAAACTTGTACACACACTTCATTTAAAATATATTTTTTTTGCTTTCCTCACGCATCGAGTAATTATTTTCTTCCTGGAAACCGACGGCTATTCACGACATAAGAAAAGTGTTAAGATCACGAAAAGTCACGACGTTAAAACCTTGTTCGATAACTTTTGATGTATTGCTGAAATTGAAGGAGAAATGAATTTTCCGATAGATCATACGTTCTCAAATTTAAAGTAGATATCACGTTGCAAAAGACAAAAATCCACACTAAATTATTAACTGAAAGTTTTTCTTCTTTTATGAACTGTATTCTTTTATAAACTTTAACGTAATCACATTTATTTACTCACTCAATGAGACGAGAAATTTATCAATAACTCTATCACTAATCACTATCAATCACTGTCGAATAATCATTGTTGGCGATTAAAAACCACTCGATTAAAGAAAGACAGGCGCACATACGTTATTACATGATGTGACGACGCGGCAACGCGATGATATTTACCCGGCAACAGCAAATAACTTTTGGTTATGGTAAGTTACGGTAGCTTTTTCAATCAAACACATGTTCACGTTCGACAGCGCTGTTAGTTTCTTAACCTATCGTAATGTCGCGTTGTCGCGTTGTCACATCGTGTAATAACGTATGTGCGCATGTGTTTCTTTAATCGAGTGGTTTTTAATTGCCAACAGTGATTATTCGACAGTGATTGATAATGATTAGTGATAAAGTCATTGGTAAATTTCTCATCTTATCGAATGAGTAAATGTAATTATGTTGAAGTTTATAAAATAATACAGTTTATAAAATAAAAAAGAACTTTCGATTAATTATTTAGAGTGAATCTCTGTCCCTTTAGAACGTGATATCTACGTTCAATTTGAGTGAAAATACGATTTATCGAAAAATTCATTTTTCAAGAAATTACAGCAATGCGTCGAACAAAATAATAATAACTACTCTTTGGTGTTGTGTGAAAACAGATTTCGGAATGTCAAAAAAAACAGTGTTAGAGAAAATTTCAAAAGAGAGGGGTTTTTAGTGAGAGTAGGGAGTATCGAGTTTGTAATTCGACTTGGTGCTTGAATCCCACATAACTCACCGGACCGGCCTGTGAATATGCATAAAATGCATTTTCTCCTCTCTCGTAAAAAAAGCACAATATAAAAAAAATAATAATAATTAAAGTGAAAATGTTTAATTATAAAAAATAAATAATAATTTAAGTAAGAGTAATAATAACTTTAAGTAAGCAAATGAGAGAGAGTGAGGGAGAGAAAGAGAGAGGCAGAGAGAGAGAGGGAGAAGGGGGGAGGGGGGAGGGGATGGAAGGGGGAGACGGGGAGATATATAGGGAGGGAGGGAGGGAGAGAGAGAATGAGAATTATGTATTCGCATGTGTGTGTATGTAGCGACCAGCTGATCGCAGCGATCGTCCCGCGTAAGCACCCGCGTCTGACAGTGAATCGTGTCACCCTTGCCTGCCTCTTGTATCCGACCCGTTATAAGTTAATTACTTCTTTTAATAATTCGAAAACTAAGCGTCGGACGAAATTTTGTCAAAGGAAAAATCGTCTTAGAATTGACTCAAGAATGTGTCATTTCACGGACAATAGGATTACTTTGAATCACCCTGCATGTTAGGTTAGGTTAGATTAGGTTGTATCTTTTAGTTTTTAGTTTACTGTGTGATTGCAATATTTTAATTTTTACCGATTATTTTATTGTGATTGCAATAATTTGGTCTTTACTGATAATTTTTATTTATTTAATATATAAGCAATATACCTATATAAAATTTTTATTTATTTAACATATAGTGCAATATTTAATTACTTTTTGCAATAATTAGTTAGTTAGTTTGCGACTGATTAAGATAAGAAATTTTAATATTTAGTTTTGACGAGCAAACTAATATCTTTAAATAACATATTTTATTTAATGTAACTGTACCTAATATTTACCTAATATATTTATTTTATATGACTGTATTTGAATATAACAGCTGTTTTTATACGCTAGGCGAATGTGTAGAAGAATATTAATTTTGTACCTTATGTTGAATTTTCATTTTGTTTTAATATATACGTTATATTTTTGTTTTAGTCTGCGACTGATTAAGAATTAAGGTCATTGTAATAATTAGGAATATTTGTGCTTTCTCATTTATATTAAAGTAAATATTTTTAGAGCTATACCTAGTCAATTTATTAAATCATCACTCAACAATTGAAAAACCAGCACTATACAATACGGACTAGCGCAGTTTCACTTATGAAGAATTAGCAACTTTGCCTACTTGAAATCGGGCGAAGTTCCTAATACAGTAGTTATTGACATTGCTATAGCTGAATAGGCAATGTCAATTTTGTTCACATCAAACCGGGCCATGTCAGTTAATAAACCATTTCAGCAGGCTTTACCTAAGAACGATATGCAGAGCAGACATTGCCTGGGCAATGTCGGCTCTGCACACCTAACGGACTTCGGCCCGTAACATATACATATGATACTATAGAATATAGCATACAACATGTAGTATATAGCGTATAGCATATAGTACATAGTATATAGCGTACAGCATATAGTACAGAATATATTTGAACAATAAAAATAATTATTTATTCGGAAATATATTAAAGGATGTTCACCCACAATTACTGAAAAATCATATTCAAAATCGTCTAAAAAAGATCGAATGTGGAAAAACATTGGATTGGTCAACTGCTGAAGCATTAGCCATCGGTTCTCTATTATATCAAGGATATAATGTAAGAATAAGCGGACAAGATGTTGGTCGTGGAACTTTTTCACAAAGACACGCGATGTTTGTTGATCAATCTACAGAAGGTATACCAAAAAATTCATATATAATATGAATATTATTCATATTGTCTAAATATGTATATTTTAAATTTATATTAAATTTTAGCTATTTTTATCCCATTGAATTCTATGGTTAATGATCAAACTGGCAAATTAGAAATGGCTAATAGCATTTTGTCCGAAGAAGCTGTACTAGGTTTTGAATATGGTATAAGTATAGCATCACCATTTATTTTGCCTATTTGGGAAGCTCAGTTCGGAGATTTCTGTAATGGAGCACAAATCATTATCGATACATATATAACGAACGGAGAAGCAAAATGGATGTTGAGTAGTGGCTTAACAATGCTCTTACCACATGGATATGATGGTGCTGGTCCAGAACATAGTTCATGTAGACTCGAAAGATTTTTACAATTAACCGATAGTAAAGACAATGAAATTGATAGCGATGACATTAATATACAGATTGCGAATCCTACTGAACCAGCACAATATTTCCATTTATTGAGAAGGCAGGTAAGAATAAATTATAAAATATAGAAATAATTTCTAAACATTTCTGTTATGATAAATTGCAAACATTTAAATTCAAATATTTTATAAATTTATAGATGATAAGAAATTATCGAAAACCTTTGGTCGTGGTAGCACCTAAAATTTTATTGCGTCATCCAATAGCAGTATCATCCTTTTCAGATTTTAAGCCTGGGACAAGTTTCAAAACTATTATAGGTATGTTGTACTTTAATATTCCGCTTTAAAAAAATATAATCAATATAATAAAATTTTAATTTATATATTTATTTAATTTTATTTATATTATTATTTATTTATATTTATATATTTATATTTATATTTATATTTATTAATTTATAAAATAAATTAATAAATGTAATTAAAATTTATAATTGATATAAAGGGTCTAGGAGAATAAGCATGAGAAAGTTGCTCTCGCACGTATCAAATTGATATCATAGATGGGCCCTTGTTACATATACCCTCCCGAAGTGATGACATTAAAATGTAATTTTTATGGGAATTATGGGAAAGGAAAATGAAATCGAAGAAGTCGATTTTTTCGAAAACGGCTGAACTGATTTTGATGAAAAAAAATATGTTGTAGGGACCAATAAAGGCTACTAAATAAAAATATACTTTAAAAATTTTAATAAAAAATACGGCCAAGAATGACGGTTTGAAATTTTCAAACAATTTTTTTGAGGTTATGTTTTAGAAATACATCTCTAATTTTTTATGCAAAATAATCCTCAGAATGTGTACTTCAACATACATTTTTTCCAAATTTTTTCTAGATATTTCATGACAAAAAAATAAATGTATGCCCAGAGTACCATGCGCGTATATAACTGTCTGGCTCGCACTCTCTCGTTCGAGCATCGAGTGAAAGAGACGGCTATTGGATCTCAGTAGTTGTTATAGGAGAGTTCTAATCCAGGACCTCTCAGGGGGGTGAGGGGAACCGCGGTGCGGGGGGGAGTGACGTCACGCGCGGGGAAGGAGGATCCGCGGCGCGAGCGATGGACGAGGGGGTCCGCGAGGTGAAGGGGGATCCACGGCGCGAGCGATGGACGAGGGGGTCCGCGAGGTGAAGGGGGATCCGCGGCGCGAGAGATGGACGAGGGGGTCCGCGCGGTGAAGGGGGATCCGCGGCGCGAGCGATAGACGAGGGGGGCCGCGAGGTGAAGGGGGATCCGCGGCGCGAGCGATGGGCGAGGGGGTCCGCGCAGTGAAGGGGGATCCGCGGCGCGACCGATGGGCGAGGGGGTCCGCGCGGTGAAGGGGGATCAGCGGAAAGAAAACGGCGTGTGAGAAGGACAGCGCAACGTATGGGAAAAGGACAGTGCAAAGTGTGTGAAGAGGACAGTGCTACGAGTGCGACAAGGATGGCGTTAACGCGGGACAAGGACGACGTATAGGTGGGAGAAGGACGACGCAAAGGTAAGTGAACAACGAGTATTCTAAGCGAAAGAGAAAGAACGATAATATCGAGAATAACAACGCGTGCGAGAGAGAACGATAGTGCAAGAACAACGCGAGTGAGAGAGAGAACGCATATGAAAGAGAGAACGATAGCGCCAAGACGACATGTACAAGAGAGAGAACGATAATATCGCGAGACTTACAATTAGCGCGTGCGAGAGAGAACGATAGCGCGAAGACGACGCGTGCAAGAGAGAACGATAATATCGCGAGACTTACAACTAACAAGTATGATAGAGATAGCGATACTTAAAACTAGCGCGAAAGAGACGCAAGAGAGATGCAAGGATGGGAACGCATGGAGAGGTGCGTAAATAATTAGATTTTTTTTTTTACATCAAAATATAAAACATAAATTTATTAAAAATGTGTGTGTGTTTTTATACATTTTGTGTGTGTGTGTGTGTGTGTGTGTATGTACTTAAAATTAAGATTATAATAATATAAAATATATTATAATAAAAATAATTTGGGGATGCGGGGGTGGGGGTCAGGGGATGGTCACTCCTGGAAGACTAGGGGCGATGTGTCGGGCTGAGGGACTTCCGCTCCTGGTCCTCTCGTCGACCATTCATGTACTCTCGTAAACTCTGAAATTAAACATAATAATTGTAAATGTTTTAAATTTATTACACATTAGCAAAAATATTTTTACCTTCAACGTTTCCAAGTCATGTCGTAGCATATTCTCATGTACATCTCCTTCGAATTTGTCTATACCTTTACATAATTCAAGATGTTCACAAAGTCTATTTCCGAAACATTTTACTTTAGTGTGATTAGGATCTTCCGCATGTATACATTCAAAACAAAAACTTGTATCACATTTTTTAACTGAGTTCGCCCAATATTTTCGAGTTTTGAGAAATCTGTTCAACGAAATTGTGCGGGGTTTTTTCAAGCCGAGCTCACGATTTCTTATAAATTGAACGACTGAGGTTTCCAGATTCTTCTTCGAAAGTTGTTCCCGCTCATACTGAAGTAATTCATCAACATCACTAGTTCGAAAATCGAAATCAGGTTCCTTATCAGATGATTCTTCTTTCGCATATAATTTCTTCCATTTCGCTCTTCTTTCTCTCTCAATCACAATTTTTTCCACCAACGGGATCCATCCAGACATCATATTCATCCATATCTTCATTGCCGATGATTACGTTTTCTTCAGCATCATTATCATCCATATCTTCATTACCAATGATTACGTTTTCTTCAGCCATTGCACTAACGTAACACACACACAAGACTAATGAAACGCAAAGAACAACGAAAGAAATGATACTCTAGTGCAGCAGACTCCTCTTCATTATATATCTTTTTAATATCTCGCGTCTCATTCCAACTAGAGCATCGCGTCTCATCTACCTCAGCATTTCTCTACATCTTTGAAGGAGCGTGTTGAGAAAAATTGTCGACTATTCTTATTCGTATGGAAGGAAAGAAATAAAATTCATAGATGGAATAAAAATAATTATTTATTGCACGCATCGTAAGAATATCATTTACAGCACATGTTAATAATTCGCAATCGATCAATGATTCGCTGTCAAAGACATCACTCTCACGTATCGTTTTTACAGCATCGCATACAGTAGTAATATTATTACGTTGTAATACAGTTTCAAATTGTTTAAATTTTTCATTTACGAGATACGTATTCTCGCATAACCAATTGTGCATATGATCGATACAATTTTCAAAATTAAATAAATGTAATAATGTTTCTGGTTTCATGTACAAAGAATTTTCGCATAATGTGAGTTTTACAATTTTCGATTGACACATTTCAATCATTAAATCTCCAATTCTTAATGGGGGAGCAGTCGATTGTAGAAATTGTTCAACGTCTGCTTGCTTCCGCATCAACAAATTCCACGTTGAAAAGGGTAACACTATTTGATTGCCTCGATTATCACCGAGAATCAGTTCCACGTACGATACAGCTCCAACGCTTATTCCAATGTCCAAATACTTGTACGACGTCGGGGTTAGAGCGTACCTTCTTCCAAGTATGCGAGCCGCACGACGAGGCTGAATACTATAAAAATATAAATAATTAGACAACAATATTAAAAATCAATAAGTAAAAAAATTTTTTAAACGATTTAAACTTACGTGTCGCATTTCTGCTTCTTACACGGTGGAGTTTCACCGTTTCGAATCGAGACGTAGAAATTCATATTTCTTCAGCGGCGAACCTTTCACACGCGCGATTGATGCAATACTGCAATCGTATTAGAATCAATATCAATTCAAATAGTATCCCAAATTGCGATGTAGAGGGGATTATTGCTGACGCAACATTTTAATTTCATCCAATTTGGTCGCGCCGATGTACGGCTGCGATGACATCATCATCTTCGGAACAAAGATTTAGCTGAATTTGCTAAAATCGAGCACCGATGTACGGCTGCTCCTGATGCAATCACGTTAAAATTTTCAAATGTACGTGACAAATAGTGAAAAAATAACCACCAAGGTTAAAATGTGTATCATCCCTAGACAAAGATTTAGCTGAATTTGCTAAAATCGAGCGCCGATGTACGGCTGCGCCTGATGCAATCGCATTAAAATTATTCAAATGTACGTGACAAATAGTGAAAAAATAACCACTAAGGTTAAAATGTGTATCATCCCTAGACAAAGATTTAGCTGAATTTACTAAAATCAAGCGTCTATGTACGACTGCGCCTGGTGCAATCGCATTAAAATTATTCAAATGTACGTGACAAATAGTGAAAAAATAACCACCAAGGTTAAAATGTGTATCATCCCTAGACAAAGATTTAGCTGAATTTAGTAAAATCGAGCGCCGATGTACGGCTGCCCCTGATGCAATCACGTTAGATTTTTCAAATGTACGTGACAAATAGTGAAATTATCAAGGTTAAATTGCACACGGTACTACGGGCAATTTTTGTAAGATGAAATCGTTCTAGAATGTTCGATGATAAAACAATGCATGAGACAATATATAAATCATGATAGAGAGACGCACCCCACCAGTAGCTAAAGTGCATCAGACCTGTCATTAGAAACGCTAAATTTTGCAAGTGTACGTTAGCAATATGGAGGAGCAAATTTTGCGAGAACAATCCGCTTTGCTTGATTCGTTGGAAAACTACATTGTGTGGGAGCAACGATGCGACGAGTACATCGAGTCGCTGGAAGAGCAAAGTCGAATCAAACGCCCGCGATTATCGATCGGATGTCGACAATCGCTGATTGCTCAGATCGCGCGCTTCGAAGGGTTGAAAAATTCGGTACGTGGACGTTTCGTACACGCGGGTGCCGGATGTAGTGCGCGTCAAAATGGACTTGTGTGGCGCGAAATTGATACGGCGTTCGAGAGTCGCGACTGGTGCGGTGATAAACTATAATCACATCGAACCGCGCCAATTTCTCGATGACGCCAAAGACATTGTGTTGGAACATGTGCAGGGCGCTTTAAAAAAACACAACAGTGTAAAAGTGAACACTATATTCAATGGTGAATTTGTGGCCGGAGATAAACACGCGAATAAAAGTGTGAATACGAGAAACTATGAACTCTTTCGCACATCTGATTTATGCGAGTGGTACGAACAGCGCGTTATCGAGTCCATCCTAGCGTCTCTGGAAGAGTTTTAGGAACGTGATAGTGGGTGGGCATTGTCGCGAATACTGAACTTGACTGTAAATATTAACAAGTACAATCCCATGCGCGCGGGATGTCACATCAAGTTACCGCGGGAGATTATGATGAAGAGAGCGGTGGTTAACGTGCAATCAAAGGATAATGCGTGTTTCGCGTGGGCAGTGGTCGCCGCTCTGTATCCCGCCGAAAGTCATGCGGAACGGGAATCATCGTACCCGCATTACACGACAGTGCTGAATCTCCGGGACATTGAGTTTCCAGTGACTGTTAATCAAATTAAGAAATTTGAACTTGCAAATGACATTTCAATCAATGTGTACGACATCGAAGACAAAAACATTGTCCCGATACGTCTTTCGCAGCAGAAACGGGACAAACATGTGAACCTGCTGTACACTGAAGACGGCAACAGCGTGGGACATTTCGCTTGGATCAAAAATTTATCCCGGCTCGTGAGCTCGCAATTGAGCAAACACAATGGTCAAAGATATATCTATGATCGGTAAGTTTATTTTATATTATTTGAAAATTATAATTTATATAAAAAATCTTATGATAAAAAAATTTTTTTCTTTTACAGATGCCTTCATTATTTTGGTTCGGACGACAAGTTGCAGTCGCATACGGTCGACTGCGGAAAGCTAAACGACTACGCTGTCCGATTGCCGAGCGACAAGGACAAGTGGCTCGAGTTCAGCAACCCTAATCGGAAGGAGCGGCTTCCATTTGTGGTCTACGCCGACTTGGAATGTGTCCTGACCAAGACGAAAGAAGAAAAATTATATCAACGCCATCGGGTATTTAGTTTAGCTTATTATGTACATTGTTCGTACGACGACTCATTATCAACGTATCATTCGCGTCGTAGCGTCGATTGTATAACATGGTTCGCCGAAGACCTTAAAAATTTAGCAATTCGCGTTAAGAATATTTTAAAAACAAATGTCCCCATGGTAAATTTAACGTTCGAAGAGTGGGAGAAATTCCATAGCGCCACTCGTTGTCATATATGCGAAAAGCCGTTTACACAAGACGATACACGCGTTCGCGATCATTGCCATCTGACCGGGCGGTACAGAGGTCCTGCACACTCAAATTGTAATCTAAATTATAAAGATTCTTTTTGCATTCCGATAGTGTTTCACAATTTATCCGGTTACGATTCTCATTTTATCATCGAGGAAATAGCCACAGCGTTCGAAGGGAAAATCGAGTTATTACCGATAACCAAGGAAAAATATATTTCGTTTACTAAAAGTGTTGATCTTAAAGAAGAAGAATCAAAAAATCAAATAAAATTACGTTTCATCGATTCATACAAATTTCTCGCATCGAGTCTCGATAAATTGGCATCATTTTTGGACAAAGATAAACTCAAAATTTTAAAATCGGAATTTCAAAATTTATCAACAGAAAATTTCAATTTGTTAACGCGAAAAGGCGTATTTCCGTACGAATACATCGATTCCGTCGACAGGTTGCATGATACGTGTTTACCACCGCGCGAATCGTTTTACAGTTCCTTGACTGGTGAAACTGTATCCGAGAGCGATTACGCGCACGCCGAGAACGTCTGGACACGATTCTCCATTCGGACGCTAGGCGAATATAGCGACTTGTACCTCAAAATTGATGTCTTGTTATTAGCCGACATTTTCGAAAACTTTCGAGATAAATGTATCGAAAGTTACGGACTCGACCCCGCGTATTATTATACTCTCCCCGGATACACGTGGGACGCCATGTTGAAGCATACAAAGATCACGTTCGAGTTGCTTACAGACATCGACATGGTTATGTTTATCGAACGTGGTATACGCGGCGGCCTGAGCCAATGTTCGGGTAGATACGCTCGCGCTAATAACAAGTACATGGAGTCGTACGATCCATCGAAACCATCATCGTACTTGATGTACTTTGATGTAAATAATTTGTACGGATGGGCGATGTGTCAACCGTTGCCCTATGCGGATTTTCGATGGATCGACGATGTGTCAAATTTTGACGTATCATCCATCGCGCTAGATTCGCCTACGGGCTATATCCTCGAAGTGGATCTCGAGTACCCGCAACATCTTCACGATGCGCACACTGATCTACCGTTTTGCCCGACACGCGACAAACCACCTGGCAAGCGAGAATTCAAGCTACTTGCAACGTTATACGATAAGAAGCGTTACGTGATACACTACCGCAACCTGCAGCAGTGTACGCGGCACGACCTTCGTGTAACAAAAATACATCGAATTTTACAGTTTTCTCAATCTCCCTGGCTTCAAAATTATATAGAATTAAATACACATTTCAGAACGTTGGCTAAAAATGATTTCGAAAAAAATTTATACAAATTAATGAATAATGCGGTATTTGGTAAAACGATGGAAAATGTACGCAATCGTGTCGATGTAAAATTATTAACAAAGTGGAACGGACGATACGGCGCAGAGGCGATGATCGCGAAACCAAATTTTCACAGCAGAAGCGTTTTTTCGGAAAACTTAATCGCTGTGGAATTGCGTAAACTCGAGGTGAAATTTTACAAACCGATTTACGTGGGTATGTGCATCCTCGACATATCCAAGACATGTTTGTACGAATTTCATCACGAGTATATGGCGCCAATGTATCGCGACAAATGTCGAGTAATGTATACCGATACGGACAGTCTCATATATCACATCGAGTGTGCGAATGTGTATGAGAATATGAAGCGTGACATTGTTAGATTCGACACGAGCGATTATGCGGTGGACAATGCATACGGTATACCGCTTCTAAATAAAAAGGTACCGGGTCTGATGAAGGATGAAAACAACGGTGCCATAATGACCGAATTCGTCGGGCTCAGAGCAAAGATGTACGCGTTACGAGTGAATGGGAAAAAGGATACGAAGAAAGTCAAAGGTGTCAAGAGCAACGTTGTCGCGAGAACGATAACGTTTGACGATTACACGCGGTGCTTGAACGAAGAGATTGAAATGACGCGTCAGCAGTCGTGTATACGATCTAAATTACACCAAGTATACACGATTCGCGAGACGAAAATTGCTCTGAGTCCGTACGACGACAAGCGATCGTACCCGATACCACCGATACGCTACCGTGGGGACATTATCAGATACCGTTGTAAATAAATCTATATTTTGTTTATTGTATATTTTGTACATAACCATGTATATATTTTGTACATTTTATATTATATATTTTTATTTATATATTTATATTTAATTTATATTTTAATAAATTTTATATATTTTTATACGCATATTTATGTTTCAATAAATGTTTACAATACATTATTTTTATGAATCCAAGAATTGTATGATTTATCCATTCCCAACCATTTCACATAAACCTCATCACCCTTTTCTCGCAAAATTTTTTCCACGAGATATACGTCGGGATTGGCGACGCGTTGTAACTCGTATTCGTAGAATCCTCCAGTGATGGGATTTCCCCGCGAATCTTTGAGTATGAATGTCGCGGGATTAGTTTTCTGCACCTCGATAATCTTAAAAACTTCGGTCGTCCAATTTGGCGTGAAACCTTTTTCAAAGATGGTCTTGTATTTGCTCACGCGTACCGAATCGCCTACTTTAAATTTTGCCGGAGCCGCAATTTTTATATTGCTGTACACCGTATTTAAAATTTTTCGGCGATCGTCGAACGGTCATTGACCGGAAACGAACGGTCATTGAACGGAAACGAACGCTCGTCGAACGGTCATCGAACGGTAATTGAACGGTCATCGAACGGAAATGAACGCTCGTCGAACGGTCATTGAACGGTCATTGAACGGAAAATAAACGACCGTCGACGGAAACGGACGCTCGTTGAACGGTCATCGAACGGTAATGAATGACCGTTGAACGGAAATTAAAAATGGATCGATGAGCTATCTCGACTCGTTGCAGAGTACAATACGCGAAAACATCGCACCATCGGTATGAGACATGTCAACGTCACTCCGGCGATCGCCGAAAAACTTTTAAATACGGTGTACAGCAATATAAAAATTGCGGCTCCGGCAAAAATTTAAAGTAGGCGATTCGGTACGCGTGAGCAAATACAAGACCATCTTTGAAAAAGGTTTCACGCCAAATTGGACGACCGAAGTTTTTAAGATTATCGAGTGCAGAAAACTAATCCCGCGACATTCATACTCAAAGATTCGCGGGGAAATCCCATCACTGGAGGATTCTACGAATACGAGTTACAACGCGTCGCCAATCCCGACGTATATCTCGTGGAAAAAATTTTGCGAGGAAAAAGGGTGATGAGGTTTATGTGAAATGGTTGGGAATGGATAAATCATACAATTCTTGGATTCATAAAAATAATGTATTGTAAACATTTATTGAAACATAAAATATGCGTATAAAATATATAAAATTTATTAAAATATAAATAAAATATAAATATATAAATATAAAAATATATAATATAAAATGTACAAAATATATACATGGTTATGTACAAAATATACAATAAACAAAATATAGATTTATTTACAACGGTATCTGATAATGTCCCCACGGTAGCGTATCGGTGGTATCGGGTACGATATATCGCTTGTCGTCGTACGGACTCAGAGCAATTTTCGTCTCGCGAATCGTGTATACTTGGTGTAATTTAGATCGTATACCACGACTGCTGACGCGTCATTTCAATCTCTTCGTTCAAGCACCGCGTGTAATCGTCAAACGTTATCGTTCTCGCGACAACGTTGCTCTTGACACCTTTGACTTTCTTCGTATCCTTTTTCCCATTCACTCGTAACGCGTACATCTTTGCTCTGAGCCCGACGAATTCGGTCATTATGGCACCGTTGTTTTCATCCTTCATCAGACCCGGTACCTTTTTATTTAGAAGCGGTATACCGTATGCATTGTCCACCGCATAATCGCTCGTGTCGAATCTAACAATGTCACGCTTCATATTCTCATACACATTCGCACACTCGATGTGATATATGAGACTGTCCGTATCGGTATACATTACTCGACATTTGTCGCGATACATTGGCGCCATATACTCGTGATGAAATTCGTACAAACATGTCTTGGATATGTCGAGGATGCACATAACCCACGTAAATCGGTTTGTAAAATTTCACCTCGAGTTTACGCAATTCCACAGCGATTAAGTTTTCCGAAAAAAAACGCTTCTGCTGTGAAAATTTGGTTTCGCGATCATCGCCTCTGCGCCGTATCGTCCGTTCCACTTTGTTAATAATTTTACATCGACACGATTGCGTACATTTTCCATCGTTTTACCAAATACCGCATTATTCATTAATTTGTATAAATTTTTTCGAAATCATTTTTAGCCAACGTTCTGAAATGTTGTTATTTAATTCTATATAATTTTGAAGCCAGGGAGATTGAGAAAACTGTAAAAATTCGATGTATTTTTGTTTACAACGAAGGTTCGTGGCCGGCGTACACTGCTGCAGGTGCCGGTAAGTGTTATCACGTAACGCTTCTTGATTCGTATTAACGTTGCCAAGTAGCTTGAATTCTCGCTTGCCAAGGTGTGTTGGTCGCGTTGTCGGGGCCAAAACGGTAGATCAGTGTGCGCATCGTGAAGATGTTCGGGTTACTCGCAGATCCACTTCGAGGATATTAAGCCCGTAGGCGAATCTACGGATGGATGATACGTCAAAATTNAAGACAATGAAATTGATAGCGATGACATTAATATACAGATTGCGAATCCTACTGAACCACAGCACAATATTCTCCATTTATTGAGAAGGCAGGTAAAATAAATT